TCCTCAGATATAGTAAAGATTCAAGTCTGTTCAAATCATGACTCTGGGGATAGAGTGGGGCCTCAATGGACGATCAAAGATTTACACATGAATACATATGAAAAATCTTTAACAATCTTCTTCTCAAGAATAGCAAAGCCGTGATTTGTCTTATTTATATGGAAGCATCTTTGGGTAATGTTAATTCAAATTTGTTCAAATCTTGACCCCCTGGGGTAGGGAGGGGGCACAACAGGTGATCAAAGTTTTAGTTAGGAATATATAGGAAAGATCATTTAAAAATCATCTCAAAAACAACAAAACCATGATAAGTCATTTTAATATAAATTAATATTTGTTGTAGCGTGTCATTTGATTGGATAAAAATTAATTATACCCCTGCTCTGAAGGAGAGGGGGGTATACTGTTTTACCCTTGTGTGTCTGTCTGTCTGTCTGTCTAGCTGTCTGTCTGTCCGTAACAAATTTTGGTCGCAGTTTTCTCAGCAACTACTCATTGCAGATGCTTGAAATTTTAGCACAATCTTTGTTTAGGCATGCCATATGGTGGGATTCATTTTTGTACGAATTCGATGTCAACTTCCTGTTTATCCGTGCGTCTGTCTGTACCATACACAACAAATTTTGGTCGTAGTTTTCTCAGTAACTACTGATTGCAGATGCTTGAAATTTTAGCACAATCTTTGTTTAGGCATGCCATATGGTGGGATTCATTTTTGTACTAATCTGATGTCAACTTCCTGTTTATCCGTGCGGCTAACCGTACCATACATAACAAATTTTGGTCATAGTTTTCTCAGCAACTACTCATCGCAGATGCTTGAAATTTTAACACACTCTTTGTTTAGGCATGCCACATGGTGGGATTCATCATTTTTGTACAAATCTGATGTCAACTTCCTGTTTATTCGTGTGTCTGTCCGTATCATACATAACAAGTTTTGGTCATAGTTTTCTCAGCAACTACTCATCGCAGATGCTTGAAATTTTAGCACAATCTTTGTTTAGGCATGCCATATGGTGGGATTCATTTTTGTATGAATCTGATGTAAACTTCCTGTTAATCCGTGCGTCTGTCCGTACCATACATAACAAATTTTGGTTGTAGTTTTCTCAGCACGCAGGTGAGTTAAGGCTAGGTATAGGCATTTCTATGCAAATAAACTAATTAAAATGCCTAAGGACTCTATCTATTATACAGAGAAAGTTAAAACTTATTGTCTAATACATACTTGGTACACACGACATGAGATAGCCAGTACACATTATGACGTCATTTTATGACGTCATTGTTCTTTACTACACAAGATTATAATGGACATCAACAAAAATGCTTCAGCGCAAGGGCATGCTCTTTTTTATTTAACTGAAACAAGGTATATTTAGAAGCAAAAAATTCCAAAGATTGCTGAAATTGCTGCACAAATATCAACAGCTCAGTTGTATAATTTCTATTTGTAAAGTTTTAAGGTGAATCAGGGTAAAAATATACAGTCCGGTACAAGTTTCCTCAAGTTCCGATCAAATGAGAAAATGCCTAGGATTTGTGCAGCAGTATTATTAATCTATAGAATATTCTTCTTAGCATTGTACAATTTTTATGTAAAATTAAATTGGGTAATCGCTTACGCCAAAGCTGTTTTGTTGATGTGTTTTATTACCTCCAGTAGGTAAGAACAATGACGTCATAATATGACGTCATAATATGTACTGGCTATAACACATCGTGGGTACTAAGTATGCATCAGAAAATAAATCAAAACTTTTTCTGAGTAATAACTGTACCTCTTATGCATTTTTATGAGCTCATTTGCATAGAAACACCTATACCTAGCCTTAACTCACATGTGCAACTACTCATCGCAGAAGCTTGAAATTTTAGCACAAGCTTTGTTTAGGCATGCCATATGGTGGGATTCATTTTTATACAAATCTGATGTCAACTTCCTGTTTATCCGTGAGTATGTCCGTACCACACATAACCAATTTTGGCCGTAGTTTTCTCAGCAACTACTCATCGCAGATGCTGGAAATTTAAGCACAATCTTGTTTAGGCATGCCATATAATGGGATTAATTTTGGTACAAATCCAATGTCAACCTCCTGTTTATCCCTGCACCTGTCCGTACAATACATAACAAATTTTGGTCGCAGTTTTCTCAGCAACTACTCATCGCAGGTGCTTGAAATCTTAACACAATGTTTGTTTAGGCATGCCATATGTTGGGATTCATTTTTTACTAATCCATTGTCAATTTCCTTATTATCACTGTGTTTGTCCATAACTGAACTTGTGTATTCACATCAGAGCGGGGGTATTATTAGTGAGCATTGGCTCACAGACTTCTTGTTTATATTGTGTAACCTGAGTTTGTTTTTGCAGCTTTCGATTTATACTCTATGGATCCTCTGTGGATTATTGTTTTATGCTCAGGTGATCGTTAAGGCCCTTGGGCCTCTTGTTTTCATTTTTAGCTCTACTGGTCAGAGACCAGAAGAGCTTATGCGATAGTAAGGTGTCCGTCGTCCGTCCGTCCGTCTGTCTGTCTGTCTGTCTGTCTGTCCGTCTGTCTGTAAACAATTTTTCAAAACGCTACTCCTCCTACAGTTTTGGTCCGATTTCAATATAACTTGGCACACAAGTAGACTACACTAAGATACATAATTTAGTGCATCGGTTTCTGATTTCCATGGACGGTGTTGCCATGGTTACTAAAAATAGAAATTTCTGTGAAATTCCTTTAAAACGCTACTCCTACAGTTTTGATCCGATTTCAATATAACTTGGCACACAAGTAGACTACACTAAGATACATAATTTAGTGCATCGGTTTTTGATTTTTATGGTGTTGCCATGGTTACTAAAAATAGAAATTTCTGTGAAACTCCTTTAAAACGCTACTCCTCCTACAGTTTTGATCCGATTTCAGTATAACTTGGCACACAAGTAGACTACACTAAGATACATAATTTAGTGCATCGGTTTTTGATTTTGATGGACGGTGTTGCCATGGTTACTAAAAATAGAAATTTCTGTGAAATTCCTTTAAAACGCTACTCCTCCTACAGTTTTGATCCGATTTCAATATAACTTGGCACACAAGTAGACTACACTAAGATACATAATTTAGTGCATCGGTTTTTGATTTTGATGGACGGTGTTGCCATGGTTACTAAAAATAGAAATTTCTGTGAAATTCCTTTAAAACGCTACTTCTCCTACAGTTTTTGTCCAATTTCAATATAACTTGGCTTACAAGTAGACAACACTAAGATACATAATTTAGTGCATAGGTTTTTGATTTCCATGGACGGTGTTGCCATGGTTACTAAAAATAGAAATTTCTGTGTAATTCCTTTAAAACGCTACTCCTCCTACAGTTTTGGTCCGATTTCAATATAACTTGGCACACAGGTAGACTACACTAAGATACATAATTTAGTGCATCGGTTTTTGATTTCGATGGACGGTGTTGCCATGGTTACTAAAAATAGAAATTTCTGTGAAATTCCTTTAAAACACTACTCCTGCTACAGTTTTAGTCTGCTTTTAATATAATTAGGCATACAAGGAGACTATACTAAGATACATAATTTATTGGATTGGTTTTTGAATTCAATGAACAGTGTTGCCATGGTTACTTAAAGTAGAAATTTTTGTGAAATTCCCATTAAACGTTACTCCTCCTACAATTTTGGTCTGATTTCAATCTAATTTGGCACACAGTTAGAATACACTCCGATACATAATATGTATTTCTGTTTTTTTTTATTTGGGTGAATGGTGTTGTCATGGTTACTAAAAATAGAAATTTCCGTGAAATACTTTCAAAACGCTACTCCTCCTACAGTTTTCATTTGATTTCAATATAACTTGGCACAGAAGTAGACTACATTAAGATACATAATTCTATTTATTGTTGCATGTTGCAATGTTTCAAATCCAAGTGCTACTTTTCTTTTGTTATACAAACAGACCAGTAGAGCTACAGTCTCATCAGAGACTTCTGGTTTGTGTCTTTTTTGTGTCTTAGTTATATTGGGTTCATATAAATTGACACATAGAATCAAGAAACTGCCAGAAGGCACATTCTTTACAAATCTAAGAGTTATGCAGTAACATTATTGACAAAAATGATGCAATAAGGTTACAGTTTTTCTCCAATTTGTAAAAAATTAAAAAAAAAAAATACTTTGTTTTAACAGCAGTGACATAAACATGCTTTTTATTTTTGCCCCCCCCCCCCCCCCAAATGCAGACTAAACAGTGCATCTCACAGCAGAAAGTGTATATTCATTCATCCTTTTGGAGTATTGAGTGGAAATGCGTCCAGTTAAAGATTAATTAATGATATTGATGTTGGGAAGGCTGTCTTATTCATTTTTGTTAGAACATCTCTGATGAAGCAGATGTTATCTATATCTCATGGGAATTGGGCAGAAGAATGAAAGATCTGGTCTCTAACTCTCTTAATTGCAATTGATAGTCTGTCAAATTAAAATTCGTAGTTTCTAGATGGCCAGCCTTTTATCTTCAAAATTAGTATGATTTAAAGTTATCAAGACCAATTTGATATTTATCGCGTGATTTTTAATTCTTTTTATATCTCAACAACCAAATTGCAGAGTGTCATGTCTCACTAAGATAACAAATAGCTGCAATAACTTTTTTTAATCTAATAAAAACAATTAAGTTATCGGTATTTTGATGTTTTATTGGGTAGTGGCTGCAGTTAAGTTTATATTCATTAAAAATACAATGAGCAATTAAATATTCACCCAATGTTTAATACCTGTAGTGACTTACATGTAGTACCGTTCCTGAAAAAAAGAAAGAAAAAAAGAAACAGCGGAGTGTATTTGACCATTTCGGACAGTTCTTGAACTGAAATTTGTTAGATATATTGATGGATTCCTCAAAATTTAGGTGTTTTTATCCTTAACGTCATCAGCAAGTAACTTGATATAGCACTAAAACTGATTTCATTGTCACATTTACAGAGAAAAAACTCGAAAAAGGCAGTTCGTTCATCCAGATCACATACTGAAAATGTGTCACATACTAAAAGTAATCGGGAAAAGTTAAACAACTATAGAGCTAATGACAATCAAACAGAGAAGTTAGAAAGACACACCAATGTAAGTAAAAAGCCTCATGAATGTCAAGTCTGCAGGAAAACTTTCAGTTTTTTATGTTTCTTACAGACACACACGAGAACACATACAGGTGATAAACCTTATAAATGTGATGTGTGTGAGAAGGCATTCTCTGAATCAGGACAATTAACAAAACACATGAGGATACATACGGGTGAGAAACCGTATGAATGTGATGTTTGTGGGAAGGCATTCAGGCAATCATGTAACTTACAGTCACATGTGAGGATACATACAGGTGATAAACCCTATGAATGTGATGTGTGTGGGAAAGCATTTTCTGGATCAGGATCATTAAAGAAACACATGAATATACATGCTGGTGAGAAACTTTATGAATGTGATTTGTGTGGTAGATCATTTTCTGATTCAGGTAGTTTACAGATACACATGAGGACACATACTGGTGAGAAACCTTATGAATGTGATCTGTGTGGTAAATCATATTCTGATTCACGTACCTTACAGAAACACATCAAGAGACATACTGGTAATAGACCTTATAAATGTGAGTTGTGTGTGAGAGCATTTTATGAAAAATCACATTTGAATAGACACATGAGGATGCACACAGGTGAAAAACGTTATAAATGTGAAGTGTGTGAAAAGGCTTTCTCTTCATCAGGAGGCTTACGGATTCACTTGAGGATACATACCGGTGATAAACCTTATGGATGTGATGTGTGTGGGAAGGCATTCGCTGAATCATGTACCTTAAAGAAACACATAAATATACATAATGGTGAAAAGCCTTAAAAATGTGATTTGTGTCCAAGAGCATTCACTGAATTACATTGTTTTTGGAGTCACACAAGGAAGCATACAGGTGATGAACCTGATAAATGTGATGTATGTGGGAAAACAATCGGGCAGTAAGGTACCTTGCAGAGACAAGTGATGACACATACAGATGATAAACCTCATAATTTTAATGTGTATGGGAAGGCATCTAACAACAAAAAACTTGCATAGACACATAAGTATATATACAGATGATAAACCTTATAAAACCGAAGTGTGTGAGAAGGCATGTATCCTTTTAGGTAACTTTTAAAAGCATAAATGGATACGTAGAAACTTTGTGGATGTGGTGTGTGTAGAAAGGCATTCAGATGATTAGCTCACTTAATGGTACAGATTATGACACATACTTGATGAACTTTACAAGTGTGATGTGTGTAGAAAGACTTTTAAGCAATTGTTTGAAATGAAGAGACACATGAGGACACATACAGGTGATAAACCTTATGAATCAGTGTGTTGGAAGGCTTTCGCTGCATCATGTAACTTTAAGAAACACATGAGGACACATGTATACAGGTGATTAACGTTATAAATGTGATTTATGCTCGAAGGCTTTTACTTCATCGAGTAACTTACAAAAACTCTAGAGGGCACGTACAGGTGGTAAAACTTTCAGTGTGATGTCTGTTGGATGGAATTTCTAGACTAGGAGACTTTAAGAAACACAAGGAAAAAAATTCAATCCAAAGAAATTCCAATTTCGATGTGTATGGATAATAGTTTAATGTGAAAGTTCTAGTATATGCGAGGGATAGTCAAAGGTGGAAAGCAAATTAAATATTTGTGTAACGTATATATGAAATCAGTATAAGACACACTTAAGGAACACATGAGGAACATGAGCATAATTGAAAATGTGATTTGTTTCAGATAGTTATTGGTCAACTGATGGAACAGAAAGCCTACAGATCTTCTACATACATGTACCATCAAACATATGTGAATGCAAAACCAATGATAAGTTAATATGGGCAGGGAGTTGTGTCATGCAGTTTGTCAATATAAGTGTGAAGAAAAGTAATGATAAAAAATATCAAAACGACGAACTGATTTACAAACTTAGATGGGTTATTGTGTGTTATAAATTTTAAAACAATGTTTAGTAAAATACATATCAGATGTCCGGAGTGCAACACAATGATAACAAAAATGATTACCAAGCATGAAATGGAGAGCAATGAAAAAATATGGATAATGTTAGAAATCGTAATTTAAAGAAGAAAACTACTTTAAATTAATTTAAAATCAAAAATATGCATTTTTAATTTCTATTTATCAAAACTATACCAGATACGAGTTAACCATACATATGGAACTCTTCTCTGGAAATAAATCTCGCCAGATGATACTTCCGTAGACAGTTTTAAACGTCAATCAAACCATATGTGTTAATGAATTAAAATTACTCAAAAACAGGCTTAGGCCTAAATTGTAATTTAATTAATTCCAATTCTGGTAAACAATATGAATTATAATTCAAATTGAACCCAAATTAAACTCACAATGAAAAGCAAATGCAAGCATTCTAAACTTTTAATCCTCTTTCTACAAAGATAGTACCAGTCCTGCGTTTATGACAAGTAAAACTCGTTTTCTTCTATAAAGTCAATATGTCACCTGTACATTTACTAAATCAAAATCGGCGAAAAAATTGTGAATACCATAAAAGAAATACCAAAATTTCGCATCTTTTACATGTGATAAAATTTTTAGAAACACAAGGAATAAGATAATGTGAATTGATTACACATTGAGAAATACACTGTAGATTTCATTTTATTTGAATTTAGATCTGAGGGCAGATCACTCTAACTACAGAAAAATACCACAGAATCAGAACTCTTTAGTGTGCAGTGTAGAGAGGGTTCTTAAATCAAGAATGTACTGACGAGAACAGACCTGCCTACCCTTCCGCTTTTGGCGTAATTCTTCCGCTTTTTACCAAGAAATTACGCTGTTATGCCATGAAATTTAATTTTACGCTTTTAAATATTTTTCATAGACAACTTAATGAATTGCTAACTTGGAAGTTAAGTAAAGGCTTTCCTAAATAAAAACGAGAAGATAATTAATATTAATTAATAGAGGGTTTCAGTTTTTCACGATATGTTTATTTAACATACAAACAACATACGTAATATACAACTTTTGAATAAAAGTTTATAAAAGTTAACTCAGTTTAATTTTAAATTCAGTTTATTCTTACATTGCTTAGAACAACATAGAGAAAAGTAAATGTAAGGAAAACAAAAACCAAATAGCGCAATAATGTAGAATTTCTATTAACATGCAAATGAAACTTTGAATTTTGTGATTTTCTATAAATTTTCCAAGTTCATTAGGCATGTAAGTTAAATAAGTTTGATATAACTGCATTTAGGATACCAGTTATACAACACATGGACTTTTTGTCAATAAATGAATTGAAAACGGAACAATCATGCTTACTTTGTTCAATGATGTACAATTACAGGTTTATTTAGACATTATAGTATCATTGCAAAACATCAAACTAGGGAAACATAAAGGATTACGCCTTTACCTCTGAAATTCCGCCAAAATGCGTATCGAAATTACACCCTCGTAATGAAAAGGGTAGGCAGGTCTGCGAGAATCGTTGCCCGCGTGGCGCAGTGGTTAGAGTGTCTGCTCTAGAGTCGCGGAGTGAGGAGTTGATCCTTACTTCGAGGGTTGGAATCCACTGCGGGACGTGAGGCCTGTCCTTCGGATGAGATTGCATAAATTGAGGCCCTGTGTCGCACAGAAAAGATCCCTCACTGCTCAAAGGCCCTGAGTGCCGAGCATAGCTTAAAATTTGCAACTCTCCACCGACGAGTGGTGGTAACTCCGTATGAGGGAAAAATTCTCGAGAGGGACGTGAAGCAACATTCAAACAAACTGACGAGAATCAATAAATCTCCAAATAAAACGATAACAAGGGGCCATTTCAAAGCACATATTACGTTGTCTAGGAAGGGAATGACACCGTATCCTTAACCCCCTCCCTTCCCACATTGACCAACTCCTGTCAAGTTTTCCTTCCAGAATGTTTTTTTTTTTCTTCCTTCAGAAAATGGCATTCAAAGGAGATACTATCTCTCACGAAGAAGTTATTTTAAGTTAAGTTATGTTAATCTGCCTCCCATCATCTCTTTTGTTGATTGCATATATGTAAATCATGTTAGAGCCCCTAACACCATACCTATGACCAATAGTAAGGTTTTCTTATCTATTATGAATTCCGTACCTCCGTAAATAACGCAGATTTAAATGTCAAAGTAAGCCGTCGACTGTAAAAGTCAGTGCTTCTTGCAAAAGTCCATTAGGCAGTGACTGCAGTCTAGTTTATCATTCATTAAAAATGAAACAAGCAATTAAAATTTCACTTTCAATGTTTAAACAAATTGTGAACATGTCTTAGATCCCTAAAATACCTTTAGTGGCTTGGTACCTTTTCTGAAAAACCCAGCTAGGGTAATTGTCCATTTTGAACAGTTCTAGTTAGCTTGAACTTAAACCTGTTAGATATGTTGATGGATTCTTAAAAATGTTTGTTTTTTATCCTTAATATCATCAACAAGTAACTAAATATAGAATTAAAACTGATTTCTTTTTCAATTACAGAGGAAAAAGGCAATTCTTTCATCCAGTTCACATACTCGAAGTGTGACTCATACTCAAAGCAATGCTGAAAAGTTAAACTACTATAGTGCAAATGACAATCAAACAGAAATATTAGAAATACACACCAATACACATGTAAATAAAGAGTCTCATGAATGTTACACCAGTAGGAAAGCTTCGACTCAATTAGATCATTTTCGGAAACAAATTTGGAAAAATACTAATGATAAACTTCATGAATGTGTTGTGTGTGAGAAGACATTCAGCCGATCTAGTAACTTACGGACACATATGAGGATACATACAGGTGATAAACCTTATAAATGTGACACATGTGGAAAGGCATTCATAGTATCAAGAAACCTACAAAAACACGTGAGGACACATACTGGCGAGAAACCTTATAAATGTGATGTGTGTGAGAAAGCATTTTCTGGATCAGAACAATTAACGAGACACAGGTGGACACATACTGGCGAGAAACCTTATAAATGTGATGTATGTGAGAAGGCATTCTCTGGATCAGGACAAATAACGAGACACATGAGGATACATACTGGTGAGAAACCTTATAAATGTGATGTGTGTGAGAGGGCATTCAAACAACTTAGTACTTTACAGGCACATATGAGGATACATACAGGTGATAAACCGCATAAATGTGATTTGTGTGGAAAGGCATTCACTGCATCAGGAAGCTTAAAGAAACATATGAGGACACATACCGGTGAGAAACCTTATGAGTGTGATGTGTGTGGAAGATCATTTTCAGAATCATGTAACTTACTGAAACACATTAAAACACATAGTTATGAGAAGCCTTATGAATGCGAGATGTGTTGGAGATCATTTTCTAATTCATGCACCTTACAGAAACACATCAAGACACATACTGATAATAAACCTTACCAATGTGAATTGTGTGTAAAAGCATTTTTTAAAAAATCGACTTTGAATAGTCACATGAGGATACACACAGGTGATAAACCTTATAAATGTGAAGTGTGTGGAAAGGCTTTTTCTTCGTCAGGAAGCTTAAAGAGGCACATGAAGATACATACTGGTGAAAAACCTTATGATTGTGGAGTGTGTGGGATGGCATTCACTGAATTACATATCTTACGGAGTCACCTGAGGATACACACAGGTGACAAACCTTATAAATGTGAAGTGTGTGGAAGGGCGTTTTCGTTATCAAGAAACTTAAAGAGACACATGGAGATACATACTTAAGAATGTGAAGTGTTTGGGATTGCATTCACTGAATTACATGCTTTATGGAGTCACATGAGGAGACATACAGGTGGTTAACCTTATAAAGGTGGTGAATGTGGGAAATCATTTAGGCATTTAAATAACTTACAGAAACACATGATGACACATGTACACGATAAACCTCATCACTGTACTATGTGTGAGAAGGCATCAAACCAAAAAATAACTTGCATAGACAACATATGTATACATATTGGTGATAAACTTTGAATGTGAAGTGTGTGTGAAGTCATTATTCGTTTATGTGACATTTTAGAAACATATAAGAATACACAGAATCTTTGCATGTGGGAACGCATTGTGAAGATTAGGTCACATAATGGTACACATTATGATACTTATGTTTGATAAACCTTAAAGGTATGATGTGTTTGAAAAATCATTTGAACAATTACGTGAGTAGTTAGAGAGACACACGAGGAGAAATACAGGCAATAAACCTTACAAATGTGAAATGTATGTAAAAAGGATTCCGCTTTTTCCTGTAACTTGCAGATTCACAAGAGGACATATACAGCAGTTAAACTTTATAAATCGATGTGAATGGTCAGGCTTCCACTGCATCGTACGCATGTAACTTTATTAAGAACGCATGAAGACAAATAAGATGATAAACCTGCACAAAGGATTTCACCTCGTCGAGTATTTTACAAAGACTGAAGAAGGCAGATGCAAGTTGTACACTTTTAGTTGTGATATGTATGGATAATAATGTAACGTGAAAGTTCTAGTATGATTGAAAGATACTTAAAAATTTGAAAGCCTAATAATTGTAATAATACAATCGTCACCTGATCATACTGACAACAAAGTAGTTTTTGACTATAATAGCTATGCATTAATTCACACAGATGTCACGTTATAATACATGTATCTTTAATTAGAGTGATTTACCACACCCATCAATGGTTTCTTGAAAGCTGTAATCTAAAATTTATATCTTGTATTATGCTCGTAACTTTTAACCCTAAAACTTTGTCTGGAGGAGCTGTGTTGTGTTTAATATTCGTTACATGGGTTTAGAGTCGGTTAGACATCTAGACACTTTAAATAAATCTTTTAAGTATTTTTTTAAAGTAATTTTGATGTTCAATGTTCAAGTATCGAACGTTTCCTGTTATAAATCAAAATATTTTTGTTTGTTGCTTAACGTCCCTTTCGAGAATTTTTCACTCAGTGGAGACGTCTTTATAAAAAATCCAAAAAATGCTATATTCTAAATCAAAGTCAAAGTATCGATTCTTAAGGTTTTCTTCTGTATTCATTCAAAGAAAAGATTTTACCATCGATAGGGCGGGGTGTATTGATTATATAGTGAAAATGCATTCTTGTGTCTAGATATACAATTCGTTGAAAATCCTCTGCTTAAACATATCAAGTGCATGATTATGATGAACAAGGATGCCTCTTCCAAAATTGGGGATTTCACAGCCAAAAATTTAAAGAGCTAATGCTATGGCCATTTGTGCAATGTGCATAAACTTTTTGGTATATGGAACCCCATGGTCAATTTTTGTAAAGTTTATCACAGATGTCCTTAAAGACCCCATTTTTTTTACTGTACAGTTACCTGTGGAGGGTGAGTAGTCTTGTTATTACTGGTGTTATTTACCTGGAGAGCCCCAATACTCAAAATGTCAAAAATCCCTATACACGTTGCATTAAACAGGAAGTCCGGCTTTTGGTAATCAGGGTCAACAGTAAGCGGTTTTTGCATAATTTTGAGTGAAAATATTTAAAATAGATTATGTACATAAATATAAAATTTTAGACTTAACGTTCTCGTCGATATCTATTGAAGAAAAAAAAAAAAGAAATTAATGTCTTTTTAAAAACGTAAAATTAAAAAAAAATTATGAGTGAAAACTACAAAGCTATCATATCAATATTTTAATCGTCAATAAACAAAATTATTATTAAATATTAAGTGTGATTTCTGAAATAAAAAGATTTCACTTATTGTGTGGACATTTACCACGATTTACTTTTCTGGCCAACAGTGGCGTCCAATGCAAATATTCGCCATTTCCGAGGGTCCCTGTTTTTATGCCCTATTTACAGACTTGAATATAAAAGGAATCTTTCATAAATCATGGCGTAAGATACAATATAATTTATTAATGTTAGTGTAAATATCGTTTCATATTTTTTCCATTGCATTTTGTTATAATTTTCAATGGTGTGGGAGGGGTCGATTGTTTTATTCCAATTACTGCGAATTAAGTCGATTGCTTAATTCCAATTACGGCGAATTAAGTAATTGTCTGTGTACCCAATTGCAAGGTCGACAGGCTCATTACGGACGTTCTTAAAATTCAGGCACAGGTTGAATAAGGGGCATGGAAGAATTATCGGTCCGTGCTGCGACAGGAAATTCTTTCCTCTTCGGATCCCAGTCATTGAAAGAAGAGAGGGCTTGAATAGCCGCTAATTTTTCTTCTAAAAGTTTTACACTTGTCTTGGACGTCAGATCGCTAATAAGTATAAAACAGCAGTAGAAATTGAAAAAAAAATATCACGAACTCATTTTTAATTACCTACTATCAATTATTTATTAAAAAATAAAATTACCAAGTAATATAGAAGCGACATTTTTTTTTTAAACCAGAGTGTATACGAAGCGATCTTTCACGCAGTACATGAAAGCATTTTGCGCCTGACCAGGAAATTGTTTTCGAAACATGCAAACTCAGATTATCGGGTAGCCCACGTAGCTGGCCTGTCAATCAAATCAGAAGCTATTGTTTTTTTTAATGATTGACAGGCGGTATATTATTGATCTTGAATTAGGTAGTTTTTGGGGGTGTTAACATAAAATTGGGTGTTCGACCCAAGGCTTTTATTTATTCTAAAATATGGACACTTTGAAGTGTGTGATCATCAAAGCTTGAAGTGCGTCCATCAAAAAGTAGGATATCGTGACCTACTTTCTAAATTTCATGGGTAATCATTTTCAAACATTGAAGGTCGTTATTTCAGATACTGGGAGGTTTAGAATCATAAAGTCTTGTAAGTTGATGCATATTTGGGCCTTTAAACATATCACAGTGACCTACTTTATCAATTTTGCAGTTATTAATTTTCAAAGTGTTTGGGGGGGGGGGGGGCATATTTTGGACACTGTAGCCAAGATCATCAAACCGGGTTAGTGTATGCATCCAAAAGGCATCGGATTAAATTAGCAGAAAAGTAGGTCACCTACTTTTGAAATGGGTTGGCTATATTTAAATATTTCAGATACTAAATGACTAACAATAATCAAAGTGTGTCATTTGATGCATCTTGGTTCTTGGAGTACGTTAATTGAAAAGAAGGTCACGGTTGTCTACTTTCGGAATTTCAGGGTATATCCAATTTTTATGCAATAAGAGGCTTAAAATCATCAAATTTTCTCAGTTGATGTATCTTGGCTTCGCGAAGTATGTCAGCTTTTAAAGTAGGCCTCGGTGACCCACTTTTAAAGCTATATCTAAATATTTTAGAAAGCAAAAGGCTAACAATCATCAAACTATGTTAGTTGATGCATCTTGAATCTTCTGAGTGTGTCAATTAAACAGTAGGTCTCGGTGACCAACTTTTGGAATTTCAAAGCTATTGTTAATTATTTTAAACAAAAAAAGCTTACAATCATTAAACTTTGTCAGATGATGCATCTTTTGGAGTATGTTAACCAAAATTAGGTCACAGTAACCTAACGTTGAAACTTCAGGACTATATCTTAATATTTTGGTTAAAAAGAGGCTACGAATCATCAAACGTTTTATGTTGGTTTATCTTGGGTCCTCGGAGCGATTCAATAATAGAGGACGGTCACAGAAACCCACTTTTGGAATTTCAGTGGTTTATATAAATATTTCAGATATCTCAGAATTATTAGAATTTGTCAGTTGTTGCATCTTGGTTCCTTGAAGCGTGACAACTACAATTCAGGTCACGTTGGTCTACTTTTGGTATAACAAAGCTATATCTAAAGTTTAAACAATAAGAGGCTCAGACTCATCAAACCGCGTCAGATGATACATCTTGTCTTTTTGGAGTTTGTTAACCAAAATGTAGGTCACGGTGACCTACTTTCTTAATTTCAAGGAAATGTCTATATATTTTGGATAATAAGAGGGTATGAATCATCAAACTTTTTCAGTTGATGCATCATTGGTCCTCGGAGCGTGTCAACCAAAAAGTAAGTCACAGTAACGTTCTTTTTAAATTTCAGTGGTTTATTAGTACACGTATATACTAAGAGTTTTAGAGTAGTGGTGAGAGGGTTGTTCAATTTATCAGAAGAGCAATTCTAGTACCCTGGGTTTCTTTTATTTTATACATCTACGGACCCTATACCATGTTGTGTGATACTAAGGTGACCGTTAAGGCCCTTTGGTCCTCATGTTATATCAATGAAAGCATCTTTAAGTAGTGTAGATTCAAATTTGTTCAAGATTACTTTGACTTTTTGAGTAGGAAGGGGCAATTATAGGCAATTGCTTTTTACACAGGATATATCAGAAACAAATATTCATCGAAAGAACAGTAAAGCCAAGATTAGCTGTATTTATATGGAAGCTACCTCAGACAGTATATAAGATTCATGTTTATTCAAACCAAGACCTGGGGATAGGTATGGCCAAATAGATGATAAAATTTTAATGTAAGAGTGACGACTGGGGTTTTCATCGCACAATACTTCGCGCATCATAGTAAAATCAAGCGTATTTACTTTTTAAAGCAACTATTTTCACATCATTTATCAAATTCCAACAAATTAAAGAAATCACAGTTTAAAAGAATCTTATGACAATTTAAAAAACTAATTTTTAATGGGTTTTTTCTACTGACAGGTAGATGGACGTCGTAATAGTGTTTATGATGTGGGTTTTTTTTCCCGTAAAGTCACTAATATCTATCATATTCTGTAGTACTCCAAAAAACAGGGAATTTTCGTATTTTTTTTTTTTTTAATTTTTTTAATTATCATTATTTTTTTTTACATTTTGTGATGCCCCTCTGAAAAACCAAACAATAGAAATTTGTGATCTTTTATATATATATAATGTACAATCATATATTATGTACTCATCATATATTATAATTTGAGCAAAAGATGTTTTGTAGTATTTGTAGAATTTGCTTTTGAAGTTCGAAAAAATAGCACTTTACCATATAATCCTATAATAAATGTGCCTGTATTTTGAGACGGTCCCGAAAAAATAACCAGACGATAGATTTTCCCTAAACTTGGCAAGTACACTGAAGTAAATACAAGTTACGTATGATATAAGTTTATAGAAATTTCCTTATGTAGTTTTCACACAGTAATACCCCACTCGGCTCCCTAAAAGACAGAAATCCCATCTTTGTACACGAAAAAAAAATCTACAGAAAAACTTGTCTAATCAAAATGCTGTGTATTGGAAATTTTGCCTAATATGATTAACATTTCAGTCCAGTTAAGTAAATTCTATTGTAAAAAATGTTGTTTAATCGGGAAAGTAATTAAATTGAGTCAATTTTTATGAAACAAGTGGTGTCCGGATTAAGCAAGTGTCACTGTATTTCTTTAATAAAAAAGGGGTTTCTATTTATTAGCTCACTTAAGCAGAAATAAGCTCAAAAATAAGACCAAGCAGAATCTCAATTCAGAATAAAAACTTGGAAATAGTAAACATTGAAATGTAAGATAGTGTTCAAAAATATTTTAGAATCACTCATAATAATGGTGTTCTAAGATTGACAGTACGCCTATTACAGGAATAAAACCTTCAAAAATCTCAAGAACAACAAAACCATGATTGATCATGTTGAAATGGAAGCATTCCAAATTATTGAAGGTTCACGTTTGTTCAAATCATGAATCCCAGGGGTAGGGTGGGGCCATAAGGGGGATCACAGCTTCACATATGAATATATATTGGAAAATTTTTAAAAATCTTCTTAAGAACAATAAAGCCATGGTTAGTAATATTGATTTGAAGCATCTTCATTGGGGGATTAAATTTTCATATATAGGAAACAATCTTTAAAATCCCTCTTCTCAAGAATAACAAAGCCATAACTAGCCATATTGATGTTACGAATTTGACATTCTCCACTATTGTTATGCATAAGTAAACAAGATGTTTCTTGTTATATGAGTCATTAAAATGATGATTCGATGGATGATTGAATGAATAAGATGTATTTTTATTTATTCTTGCTTACCTGTTATTATTTATTAGAGTTATTTGAAATTAATGATGTGCTAGGTGCAAATTGTTCACCAGGTACCGAATTTCCTCCACGTTTTGAGGAATACGGAACGTAAATAAACCATTCACTGGTCTACAAATGCTTTTATATAGTACTAAATATTCTTACCTTTGATAATTGGGGTAATTAATAAATCCATTCACTGATAATTAGAGTAAAAACCTTACAATTACACTCTGCTTTTTCATACTAAGCGGCAAAAGATGTAAAGTACATTCGGAACACCTCGGATGCGTATAATAGTTAAATGTATCCGAAGCTTTCCGGCTATTTGAAGTTATGGCGCCAAATTTCATGCAATATACGTCATAATGGGTGTAAAGGCTTTATATACGAGCTCCCCGGGCTCTGACAGTCAGACGTCTGCTGTCTCACTCACTGTGCGGTCGCCAAATCTGTCAGATAACGATAACCTTACAAGAACAAGGCTCAGAGGAGTTTAGATGGGTAATTATCCCTCAATTTGTATTGACTTGTTAGCAACACTTGATGGCTTTATTAGTTTAATGAGTTTTATTCAGACACAAGTAGTGATCTGAACGTGATATTTATAACTCCTGACATTATTATTAACAACAAACTAACAAATGCATGGTGCATTGTATTGAGTTTTGTTGAGATGTTAGCATAACTTTTTGTCCCTATACAATTAGTTGTCTGCTATAACCTGACATTTTATATTTATACTCACTAAGTGAAGAAATCACTAGTTGGAACTTTATTCAAGACCTAAAGGCATTAGGTCTATTTACATTCATTAAAGGGTTTGTTTAAGGGTGGTTTATAAATTAACATTTGTTGGAAAGGGTGGTTGGTTTCCTTTTATTTCAGGTGAGGACCGCAGAGCCAAAGAAGAATATTTTTGTATGTTTATTGAATAAAATCTAATAAAATATTAAAAACAAATTATATCCTGTTGTCTTTCGTTCAACATTCAGATTAAGGAGCCCCACAATGTTACGCCGCTAAACATAAAGTTGTAAGTCGTAACAATTGGTGTCAGAAGTGGGATAAAGTCTTCCTTTTATTCTGGTTGATCGAAAGTCTACATCAGGATCTAAAATATTGACTTATAAGTCTTGTTAAGTCTATTGACAACGACAAGCACATTGACATATAAACACATAAATTTGTGTTGCAATAGCCAATAACAAAAGTCAAAATGTCAAATGAAAACAGCCAATTTGAAGCCTCTGAGGAGAATGGGTGCAGGTCCTGCGATCTGAATGATTACATCACTTGTGATGTGTATCAACGGTCCGGTACCTCTTCTCTTACACAGAAATCAGGCTCTGACAAGGCTGAAAATGTAAATGAACTTTTGTTAAGAGCTGTAGAAAAGATGAACAAAGAAGTCTTAAACATGAGACAAGACATTGATGAACAATTATCAAACATGAGACGAGATTCTCGTCAATTGCAAAAACAAGTAGATGAATTAAAACAAAAGGGGACCCCCAAAGATAATGCATTCAGATATCAAGTGCATGGGTGTAGAGAATCCCTGGGTCCTCATGATCAGTCTCCTATCATTGAGGCTGGGGAAAGTATTGGTCACATAGATACCCCTGCAAGGGAGATAAATTACAATGAGAATAGAGTTCCTTCCCCTTTCAATTCCAAACCTATTATATCAATTAAACCACCTACATTTGATGGGTCAGAAGATTTTGGGGAATATCTAGCCCAGTTTGAAATCTTGGTTGATCTACATGGTTGGAATTATAGGGCAAAGTCACTATACCTAGCTAGCAGTTTAGCGGGAGGGGCTCGTGCACTTTTAAGTGAGCTTAACGAAGTTCAGCGCAGAGATTATGATTCCCTAGTCAAGATTCTTGATAGGCGTTATGGTTCAGTTGAACGATCTGAAATGTTCAGAGCTAAGTTAAAGACAAAAACCAAAGGTGACAAAGAGTCTTTATCTGAACTTGCACAATCTATCAAGAAACTTACTAGGCAAGCATATCCTACTGCCGATTCAAACTTGACAAATGTTCTATCATTAGATCACTTCATAGATGCACTTCCCGATCCGGATATGCGCCTTCGCTTGAGAGAAAGTAGACCCAGAGACATTAATGAGGCTGAGATTTTGGCTATAAGACTTGAAACTCACAAACTGGCTGATGCTCAGAGAGTAAAAATTGTCAATGCCATAAATCCAGAAATGGATACCAATCTCCTCGCCTCGATCAAACAAGAAAATAGGGTCTTAATGGATGATCTCCAATCACTTACAAAAGAGGTTAGATCACTCCTAAAAAATGGTCTTAATTCAAGACCCTACTCTTCTCGTTCAAGCGAGGTGCATCCTCGGTTCAGGAATGCACAAAATGATCGACAGAACAATCAGTTTCAAGTTCATAGGCAGCCATACAATACAAACAATTTAGACAGACATAATACCTACCCAAATAGACAATCTCAGAATGGTCGCTTTCAATCCTCAAATCAGGGAAACTTTCCCGTGTCGAATTCAGGGAGCAGAAGTCGACAAAGCACAGGGGTAATCCCCAATCACTGTTAAGCAAGGATGGTATAAGAGGACCTCTTCCTGCTGGAAGAAATGAGTGTATTAAAAAGAGTCCTCAAAATACAGTTAATGTAACTAAAAATGACAATTTAATGAACAATAAATCAGAAAATGATGTTGAGAACAATATATCTGAAAATGATGTTGAGAAAATTATCAAGTTTGAAAATCCACCTAAAAATGAAAGAGTAGGTGATGTAAGGGGGCGTGGTGAAGGAATCTTTGTTGTAGGCAAAATTGAGAACATTCGAACTACAATGATGGTCGACACAGGAGCTAGTGTAACAATTATTAGCTCAGATTTTGCAGACAGTTCAGAGTTAAAGGGGAAATTAGATTTGAACCCTTCATTTGTACATTTAACATCTGCTAGTGGGGAGAAAATATCTGTACTAGGGGAATGCCTAGTGAAAATATGTGTGGGAGATGTTACGGTGAATCAAAATGTGTTAGTGGCTAATATCCAAAACGAATGTATTTTGGGTTTAGATTTCATGAAAGAACACAACTGTGACGTTCTGTTGAACAAAATGAAGCTTAGAATAAAGGGGGTAGATGTTTCTTGCTTTACAAATGAAGCTTTGAATGAGCAATGTTGTAAAGTATTTCTGACGGAAACTATAGAAATTCCCCCTCTCAGTGAATTTATTGCCCCGGCTAAAGTAGAAAACCCATTATTTAATGACAAGGTTACTTTGTTAGAGCCTGTGGCAAAATTTTTGGATAAACATGATGTATTAGTTCCCAAGATTTTGGCAAAAGTTGAAACTGATAAAGTACCTGTTCGATACATGAACTTAGGTGATCAGAGTGTCAAAATTTTCAAAGGGACAGTGGTGGCAAACTTAGAAGTTACTTCAGGGATTGTTGAAAATACTCCCCAATCAATAAATGTTTTGACAAAACATGAAAAGAAAACAAATGAAAAATTTCCTGAACATTTGAAGTCTGTGTTTGAGAATTCTTGCAAAAACATTGATCAAGAACAACAGCAAAAATTAAGAAAATTACTAATAGAGTTTCAAAGTAGTTTCTCAGTAAACTCTACTGACATGGGGTTGACAAACTTAGTTAAACACAAGATTAACACTGGCAATGCACCCCCAATAAAACAACTACCTAGACGCATTCCTTTAGCCAAAATGCAAGAAGCTCAAAATGAAATTAAAGATATGTTGAATAAAGGGGTCATTGAAACATCCAACAGCCCATGGAGCTCCCCTATAGTTTTAGTCAAAAAGAAAGATGGGTCAATCAGATTTTGCATCGATTATAGAAAATTAAATGACATCACGATCAAAGGCAGTTACCCAATCCCTAGAATTGATTCTACACTAGATGCATTATCAGGGTCTAGATGGTTTTCAACAATAGATTTAAAGAGCGGATACTGGCAAGTCGAAATGACTCCAGAAGATATCCCCAAAACAGCATTTTCAATACCCGGTGGTGGACACTGGCAATTTCGTAAAATGTCTTTTGGCTTGTGCAACGCTGGTGCGACTTTTGAGAGGCTCATGGAAAAAGTTCTATCAAATTTGTCATGGAAAATCTGTTTAGTTTACCTTGACGATATTATTGTTCTCTCAAAAAGTTTCGATGAACATTTAGATAATTTACGACAAGTCTTTACACGTTTGCATGAAGCTATCTTGAAAATAAATCCCAAAAAGTGTACTCTTTTACAAAAACAGGTCTCATTCTTAGGACATATAGTTGGGGAAAATGGTATTGCTACCGACCCTTCAAAAATTGAAGCAGTAAGAAATTGGCCTATCCCATCAAATGTGAAAGAAGTCAGAAGTTTTCTGGGACTGTGCTCCTACTATAGGAAATTTGTATATAAATTTTCCGATATAGCTAGGCCCTTGCACAAATTGACAGAACTAAATCATAAATTTATTTGGGATGAAGATTGCCACAATTCTTTTGACAAGCTAAAGCGTGCCCTGACAAGTTCACCTATTTTATCTTACCCAGATGTTAATGGGACATTCATCTTAGACACTGATGCTTCCAATACTGGGATGGGGGCGGTGTTATCACAGATTCAAGATGGCGTAGAAAAAGTTATTAGTTACTATAGTAAAACTTTTAGCGCATCTGAACGCCACTATTGTGTAACAAGAAGAGAACTTTTAGCCATAGTAAACTCAATCAAAAATTTTCATCACTATTTGTATGGAAGACGCTTTAAGGTTAGGACAGACCATGGATCATTAACCTGGTTACTTAATTTCAAGAACCCAGAAGGTCAGATCGCTAGGTGGTTTGAGTTCCTATCCTCATATGACTTTGACATAGAGCACAGAGCAGGCCGTTCTCATAATAATGCAGACGCGTTGTCACGTCGGCCATGTACTGAATTAAATTGTAAATATTGTACCTCAGCTGAAGGGCGGTACGAAGTAAATACAGATTGTGTTCACAATAAAACTGTAAATTCTGACAAATCTGAGACGGGGACTATGGGCAAGAAATTAAACGAAATTGTTAGTTTAAATCCTAAAGACAACACTAAGAGCTTAAAAATACCTGCAAACTGTTCTGTTACAACCAGATCTTGTGGTAAATCTGCTCTGCCCCTTGATATCCCTACAAAACAAACTGAAAATGTAGCTAACAATGAAACAATTGTAAGCGAAAATAGTATTGGTTCTTTACAATTAAAAGACTCAGATTTGAATGAAATTATCAAATGGGTAAAGTTAGGTCAGAAACCCACTTGGGAAAATATTTCACATACAAGTGAGACTTGTAAATATTACTGGACTAGGTTCGATTCACTCTCAATCATGGGAGGGACCCTGTATCACAAATGGGAAGATGTAAACCCCAAATTTCAAATTGTTTTACCAAAATCCCTAATTAAAGAAGTAATTAAGGGAATTCACGATGACGTGACTGGGGGTCATTTAGGTTTTAAGAAATCTTTATCAAAAGCTAAGGATAAATACTTTTGGCACAAAATGCGTCAAGATATACAGTCCCATTGTAAAATGTGTGATGTTTGTGCATCAAGAAAATCCCCTAACAAACATCCGAAAACTTCATTACAAACTTACAATGTAGGCGCTCCCATGGAGCGATGGGCTGTAGACATTTTAGGTCCCCTCCCCTTGACACACAAAAAGAATTTATATTTATTAGTGGTGGGTGACTATTTTACTAAATGGCTTGATGCCATACCAATCAAAAATAAAAAGTCTACAACAGTAGCACAGAAAAATTGTTGATCATGTTGTCACCATATTTGGGACACCAATGCAAATACATTCTGACCAAGGTCAAACTTTTGAGTCAGAAGTGTTTCAAGAAATGTGCAAAATATTAAACATAGAAAAGACAAGGACCACTCCTTATCGTCCACAATCGGACGGCATGTTCGAGAGGGCAAATCGAACTATTGAAAACATGTTAACAGTTTTTGTAGAGGAAAACCAGAAAAACTGGGATGAATTGATACCCCTGTTAATGCTCGCTTATAGGTTCTCTGTCCATGAGTCTACAGGTGTGAGTCCTTGTGAGATGGTGTTTGGTCGCCCTGTATTATTGCCTGTCGATCTAGTGTTAGGGAGACCAGACCCTGAAACAAATCAGAACATAACTGAGTTTGCATTAAATTTATCTAGAAAAATTGACAACATTCACAATTTTGCAAGAAATAACATCAAGTTGAGTTCTAGTAAAATGTTACGTGAATACAATACAAAAGTACAACAGAATATTTATTCTGAGGGGGATCCAGTTTGGGTGTTCTACCCCAACCCCAAACCTGGCCTATCGAGAAAACTTTTTAAGAATTGGGCAGGCCCTTATGTGATCACGAAAAGAATAAATGATGTTCTTTACAAGGTCAAAAAGTCTCCCAAACACAAAGGAGATATATTGCACCACAACAGGTTAAAGCTGTATGTGGGTGAGAATAAACCTAAGTGGTTTCAGAAGTAAATGCTGAATAACTAACATTGCTTGTTTTTGCATGAAATTTTGTTTTCTTTAACAGACATTGTTAAAATTGAGGGGATTATTTGTGTTATGTTTTTATAAAAAAAAAAAAAAAAAAAAAAAAAAAAATTGATGATCTGAAAACACTTTATCTATATCTTATTATACACTAGTAGTCTAGTACAGGCATATTGTGTATTTTTGCTTTGTGCATTCTATAAAACAAACATTCATGTAAATTTTTATACATTACAGGTGCAAAAATTCAAATGCACATTGTGTGACGGACGAGAGTTCGCACAGCAACACCAAGCAGAACAACATCTAACCGCCACCCATTCGGGATTCGGTTTCCAGTGTTCGGTGTGCAAGTACATTTTATCCAGAAGAAATCAGAAACACAACTGCGAAGGCTACGTGGCATTATCTGTCAAGAAATCCACAATGACATTCAATGAAGCTGATAAAAGAGAGTTTGCAGAGTTCCAAAGAAACCGCTATAGGTTCGTTGAACCTTTCATGAAAAAAATATCCCCAAATATGTATAAAGGGTACACAGGAAAGAGGACAATCAGAGTTAACCACGAAGGGCCCCTGCCGAAGCGACAAAAGCCGTCGTCAAAGCAACAAAATGTGTCTGAACCAACTGGTGTGACAAGAACTGTTGTAACAAAGGCAACGGAAACTACACTTCCATCAGCCGAAGTTCCAGCCGTAACATCTATTCCACAGACCAGAGGTCTATCGACACCACCTGAAAAACAGGCTCCACAAAAGGATAGGACAGTCAACAGAAGGCTTTTTGATGATACATCGTCCTCGTCGTCCTCCAGCCGCTCTTCCTCCAAAAGGTCATCGACAAATTCTTTGGAGAGCCCTGATATCTCAGTGCGTGGAGCAGAACCGAGAGTTTCGAAGAACCCTGCAGCTCTGGAGTACGAAGTGGCTGATCTTCCGGCACCGGCATATAACCCGACAGACAAAAGGGAAATAATGATAAAGAGCCTGGAAATACAACAGAAGGAAAGAATAGTGTTGAACGTCGGAGGAAGACGATTCGAGACAAGTAAACAAACCATGCAAGCAGACCCGAGCTCTATATTATCGGCCATGGTAGCAAAAGACCTTTGTGCAACAAACAATGACACAAAAACCTTTTTCCTAGATAGGAACCCCCGTTATTTCGACTTCATACTAGATTACCTCAGATCGGCGACGTACAACTCCAAAGTCCTCCCATATGACAAGTCCATCCTCCGGCAAATCCATGTGGAGGCGACATACTATGGATTAACAGGGCTTGTTCATGCCGTTGAGGAGAGAGCTAAGGGAAAGGATGTTCCTCAGCCTGGCCTGTGGGATGACTAACGAGTCATTCATTATATTCTACAATGAACACATTTTTTTTTTAGATTACATGTGCATCCATTGTTGAACTGTAGTGATGCCCACAACTGTTCATGTGTTCATTTACATGTACATAGTATTGGTTATATTTTTTTTTAAAAGGAACCTAATAGTTTCTGTGATTTTTTTTTTTTTATAAATTCACAAAAGATGAAATTTTGTTTTATGACTTAGAGATGTTTACTAACTGAATTCATACATAAGATTCTTGTATCTTGTTGAATGGACATTGTTGACATTGTAAAAACTGCATATATTGATTTATTTACAATGATTGACATTAGTTACGCACAAATGAAATTGTTGAACTTACATTACGACTTCTTTTTCTTTTTGTGCTTGTCATGATATTGAGAGTTCTTCAGAAGAACAAGTATCCTATTAAAAATAATAATAAAATAAAATAAATATGGATCAGCAATGAAAAGATTAACTTACTACGTGTTGGTAATTCACAAAACGTTTGATCAACGTAAATTTGAATTTGAACTGCGCAGTTGTTGTTTTCACGAAAATGCTGCAAAGCGACTCAAAAAATAACTCCGCCTACAATCAGATCAAATGGAAAATGTAATGAATATTCACATTTTCCTTACTGAAAGTTGCATTTCGTCCATTTTTGCAAGTATTTTTGGGCGAACTTTATGAAAACTCAGTGGCGCTTCTTCTCTCTGCACGAGGATTTGACGTCACACCTTTTGATAAGACGTACGAAGAAATGTCACGAAATTTACTTTCGTTTTAGAAATACGACAAGTGCGTCGTGTTTATTGAAATTTGAGTATTGTAGATTGAATGTTAAGTGATTTTACATATTTATTTGTGTTTAATATAATTTAAAGTTTGCTTATGATAAAGTGGACTTACAGTTTAACTTGGATATCCCGAAGACGGCATTTCGAGATAATTAGTTGGTCGGGATATCAAGGTTTTGATTCATTGAACATTAATTTAGATTGTTACAAAGTATATTTTTATAGACATTCGAGGACGAATGTTAAATAGAGAAGGGGGCCGTGTTACGAATTTGACATTCTCCACTATTGTTATGCATAAGTAAACAAGATGTTTCTTGTTATATGAGTCATTAAAATGATGATTCGATGGATGCTTGAATGAATGAGATGTATTGATATTTATTCTTGCTTACCTGTTATTATTTATTAGAGTTATTTGAAATTAATGATGTGCTAGGTGCAAATTGTTCACCAGGTACCGAATTTCCTCCACGTTTTGAGGAATACGGAACGTAAATAAACCATTCACTGGTCTACAAATGCTTTTATATAGTACTAAATATTCTTACCTTTGATAATTGGGGTAATTAATAAATCCATTCACTGATAATTAGAGTAAAAACCTTACAATTACACTCTGCTTTTTCATACTAAGCGGCAAAAGATGTAAAGTACATTCGGAACACCTCGGATGCGTATAATAGTTAAATGTATCCGAAGCTTTCCGGCTATTTGAAGTTATGGCGCCAAATTTCATGCAATATACGTCATAATGGGTGTAAAGGATTTATATACGAGCTCCCCGGGCTCTGACAGTCAGACGTCTGCTGTCTCACTCACTGTGCGGTCGCCAAATCTGTCAGATAACGATGACCTTACAAGAACAAGGCTCAGAGGAGTTTAGATGGGTAATTATCCCTCAATTTGTATTGACTTGTTAGCAACACTTGATGGCTTTATTAGTTTAATGAGTTTTATTCAGACACAAGTAGTGATCTGAACGTGATATTTATAACTCCTGACATTATTATTAACAACAAACTAACAAATGCATGGTGCATTGTATTGAGTTTTGTTGAGATGTTAGCATAACTTTTTGTCCCTATACAATTAGTTGTCTGCTATAACCTGACATTTTATATTTATACTCACTAAGTGAAGAAATCACTAGTTGGAACTTTATTCAAGACCTAAAGGCATTAGGTCTATTTACATTCATTAAAGGGTTTGTTTAAGGGTGGTTTATAAATTAACATTTGTTGGAAAGGGTGGTTGGTTTCCTTTTATTTCAGGTGAGGACCGCAGAGCCAAAGAAGAATATTTTTGTATGTTTATTGAATAAAATCTAATAAAATATTAAAAACAAATTATATCCTGTTGTCTTTCGTTCAACATTCAGATTAAGGAGCCCCACAATGTTACGCCGCTAAACATAAAGTTGTAAGTCGTAACATTGATATGGAAGCATCCTCGGGTAGTGTAAGTTTCAATTTTGTTCAAATCATGACCCCCAGGGTAAGGTGGGACACATCTTTAAAATTCTGTTCCCAAGAACAGCAAAGCTATGATTAGTCATACGAATAGTTTAGATTCAAATTTGGCGTAGGATGGGGTTAGAACAGGTCATTAAAGTTAGAGTTTTAAATATGAATATACAGGAGAAGAAATCGACTGATAAGAAGGACAGCGCAGCACTGTTAAGGCGTACTTCAAAGAAATCAACAGAATATAAACGTGCATAAATACATACCTTTTTAAAATGAATTTTAATTTTGTAAAGGTGCTGTATTATCTTATGACTTTAACATTCTTTGAAATAACATTGTATACCCCGATCTGTACTGAATTTGGTTTGGTCACATTATTTGATAGTCACGTGATAAATGCATGTAATGTGTACTGTATGTAGGTCACAAACAAATTTCAATATCGCAAGGGCATACCCTAGTTAAAATTAAAAATTAAAGAAATAGATTGTTTCCACATAACTTGTAGTTTATGGAAAGTGCTGCTGCTTTAAATAGAATTCGCACTTTATTAGTTTAAATTTCAAGTTATCTTGCTAATGTCGAAATATGTGTGACATTTACCAAGTATCTTATGTATTTATTAAGTTATGCTGTCGATTTCAGGAAAGCAGCAGCACTTTTTAAGTTAAGGAATATGTCCATTATGTGTATTCAAAAAATGGTCAAGATCTATTAAGTTTATGCCCTTGCGAAAAGGCGATTTAATGAGGCACCTCGGCCTGAAACATGCACACCCTATAGACAAAAACACGGTAGAATTAATTCAATACATTCTCTCGATATTTTTTAAATTATGGCACTAAACAAACGTTTCAGATTAATATTAATGGTCTACCTAAGATTTTCAAATAATATTCTTTTTAATAATAAAATGCATTTTTCACTGTGAAAAAATTACTTGATCCGCCTCTCACTGCACATAAAATGCGTCAAACTTTACCATGATGACGTCATGTCGACAAGTGCATTGCGATCAGTGACTTGTTTATATCTTGCTGTGTGGGATTTAACTAGCGACAAAAATGAATGCAGTGGTAAGTGTTGATGTAGTTCATTACTCTTATGCAGTTTAGATTCGCAAATTATTTCATTTTTTGTTATTGTGAGGAATTGCTATATTTCTGTGATGTCACAGTAAACTTTTCCCGTATAAATTAGGCCCCGCCCCCTTTATGCAGCCTTAACAGAGCTGCGAGGGCCATATTGACTCAGATGAGCGTTGTGGCCCAAGGGCCTCTTGATACGAACATGGATCAAGAGGGTGAAAATATGAGTTTACCTTTTGAAAAATCTTAAGCATTTAATTAACTTCTATTAATTAAGTAACTTGAACAATTAAGAATTCAAGTTTAGCTAAATCACTACAGTTTGAAGCTAGCTTAAAGAACAAAATGGGGTTAAAAAAATTTTGGATGAAAGGATGGAAAATAGTTTTCAAATCTTCTGGTGAAAAATAACTGAATATCTTGAGCATTGTGATCACCCCCCCCCCCCCTTCCTTTACATGTACAGCTGTACATAACGTTATATACATTTTGAAAAGGGTCCATAACACTAAATTTAAAAAAAAAATACCACTAGCTAGAGTATCTCAAACTGGTATATCTTTTTTTAATTTATTTTTTCACCTGAGTACAAACATTCGATATTGTACACAGTTTTTCTACCATTTCGCTCGCACCATCTTATACTCATTAGTATAAATCTCATATTCATTTGTCACCTCGATTAAGGATGTACAACACACCAACCCCCAAAATTTGCTATCGATTAATTTTCACCATTTTTGTATATTTCATAGATGACTATATATACAATTTGTATGCAGATTATGGACAAAATCTTTCGAGTCGAATTTGGACAGGGAGTTTAAAAAATTACTCCCTTTGACTGTTCATGATGAGAAGAAATTTTCAACCGACTAAGTATAAAATCCTTTATTTTCAAAAATGTCAAAATAGCTGTCAAATTTCGGTGACTCATTCGTTTAACTATTAAACACACAAGCAAAGTAATTTTGTAGATACACATCGACAAAAACAATTTTGAAGTTTTTAAGCTGAAAAACTATGGTTCATCTTAGCATTGAAAAATGCGTGTTTTTCAAATTAGATATTTTTGTGAAAAAAAACCTATCGTTTAATTTTCGAAAAAAAAGCTTTCTTCGTGTAACTGGTTTTCAAAATAATCGTCATAATTTTTAAAACTATTTTTAAACGACGTGTTTTGAATTCATAGCGGAAGATCCCCCCCCCCTTTCATAAGTTGCGTTTCACACAGCGTCTATCAGACTTGGGACGAAAACAATGTTATGAATCTACAAATACACCTAAAATTTCCAAGCTAGAAAATATCTTTTACTTTAAAAATGTAATTTACATTATATTTATCACAAGCTTAAAACTTTGCATCTGCATTTAAGATGAGTAAGCAATTTCTGAAATTTTAAGACCCCCCCCCCTTTCTTCTCTGCAATTCAGGCCATTCTATCTTGATAAAAAAACATCGGTTATGTCTGCAGATATAATTGGTATATTAAATCCCTGAAGTAATAAAATCGTTCATTCATGTATGCATATTAAATATTGACGACTAATATATTTTGTTCTTATATTATATTTTATTTATATATTTAGTAAAATTAATTTTCTACGGATTTTATTTCCTCGTGTCCGGTTTGGAGTTCATACACACATGTACGGGAATTCAGTTTCACATTACTATATGAACTCTGCACGGAATTTTATTTTTTAATTGAACCAACAGTGATGTATGGACAACTCCCCCTGTGATGAAAATGTAATATTATATATAGGTTCTTAATTATTTTAAACGAGAGGGATGGGAACCCCCCCCCCCCCGGATATTTTATCCTTCTTTTGTTTCTATAAATAAAATGGAAATAATTTATTCGTCCATATTCATTTCAAGGGTATCAATTTGTAAATTTTTTATCAATTCTTAAATTATACATACGATTGATACTTAAGAAAATCCTTAAGAAATACAACGATTGATACAATGGTATCAATCGTTGTATTTCTATTCGAGGAAATGCGAACTGAAACTGTTCCATTAAAAGATTTTCTCAGTATGGGATGCATGCGTTGTATTAATTTCAGTAAATAATTCTTTCTTTTGATACTTACTTTAATTGTATAACGTTAAGCTTTGACTTTCAGTTCTTTTGTTCATTAGAACTCTCTGTATATGTATCTGTGTATTCGTGAAAAAAAAACCCAAAAAACATAAATGTTTGGAAAACAGGAGGAATAACTCAGTTAAGGGGAGGAAAAACATACAGCTCCTACATTTTTAGAGTTCTTTTCTTTGATCAGTGACCTTCTGAAAACGGTAACTATATTGGATAAAACTTTTCTTTTCTTTCTTTTCTTTTTCTTTTCTTTTCTTTTTCTTTTTTTTTTTGAAATGAAAAAAGAAACAAGACAGTATATTTATTTGCATAATATGATAATATTAAGACAGACCAGTAATCTCAATGTTAGGTGACCGAAAAGAAATGTCGCATAAACATTTTCAGATTAAAAAAGGCCTTTATGTATATCATCATAAATACAATTTAAAGCTATATATGGAGTATCTGAGCTAAAAAAAAAAAAAAAAAAAAAAAAAAAAAAAAAAAAAAAAAAAAAAAACAACACGAGATTGAGTGTAGATAAACATGAAATATGTTATTTACGTTCAAATTAAAATTTCACATATTTTGAACATGAATAACCTCACGTTTCCATAGTTAAATTGACATAAAACTGTGTGTTATTTTAATGCGGAGTCGGTAAATAAATCGGTTATTGTTTTAAATTTCTAATATTTTTGAAAGGTGATTGATTGTGTAATTTACAGGAAAGTCTTATCTTTATATAAAGTAATGAAAAAAATTTTTATTAGTCTGAAGTTATAAAATATCAAATTTAACGTCAAGTTGTTAACGGTTAATTGAAATCGCAAGAGTTATCTTCCCCATTGTGTTGTACGTCTTTAAGTACTTTCAATACTTTAATTATATCTATAAATATCGGGATCGGCATTTCGGTTTGCGTACACAAAACAAAGCTTGAGGGAAGAGCTCTGGAAGATGGAAAGTTTCAGGCAGGTAATTTCTTTATTTAACGAAAACTTACAAGATCCTGTTCTCTATTTATAGAATAATACATATCGTAGCAGGTGTCAAATCAGTGAGAGTCCATAAATCGGCGTATTTTTTTTACACTGGGCCAGTGGGAGATCTGACCATAATTATAATGATATATGATTAATGTTTGGTAACACAGACACAGTACTTTAGATTATTTCCAACGATAGTGAATATATTTGACTATTAATTTAAAAGTAAATATCACAAAACTGTAAAGTCTAGGGAAGCCATTTTACAGTAGTTCATTTTCAAAATGTATAAATGAAGAAACATACATGTATGGATAAGAGTTATTGTCCTTTGCACATATAGATTAAATAATTTATTAGTTAAAGAAAATATAATTATTATATTTTATTTTGTTCTATTACTTAATTACCATATTTTTAATTGCAACTTTTTAAACTAATTAAAACATTCTTTCAAAAGATTCATTTCTACTGGGCACGAAGTCAAATTAATTAAAGATTTTGCAAAAACCTATGTCATCACTCGAGGTGGGAATTACTTTAAAAAAGTAAAGGTTTCCTTGGAATTTATCAGTATAATGCTATATCAGATAGATAATTGATAATAGGGTTGGCCGAAGGTTTTTTATATATTGTAACTTTTAAAATAATATATGCTTGCATTTGGAAGTATCAAGATTAAGTTAAAAGTTTGACATTTATTTGGATTTTCCCAAACAAAAAAATTGTTTGATCAGTGCAGTTTGTGAATTAATGGTGCTCTTGAAAATGCTATATGACACAAAGATGTTCATGTAGATTTTTTTTCTTCTTTTTTGTTCTAGAGGATAATATGAACTAATGATTTATCTACTCTGTTACAGGTTTAAGAACAATAATTAGGTCATGATGTCAGATAATTTGGTCAAGAAGTCAGAGGTCAGGTTCTGGCATACAACTTGTTCTGAATATCCAGTATCTGATGTTGAATCTACTGGTATGTATATAATTCAATGTAAAAGAAAATTCAGGGTTCAAAACTACATGTAAGTGGAAATTTATACATGCGAATCATGACCATAAATCATATTTTAGTATGTTACATTATATGCTCACAAATTATATCCAAAACTTGGACTCTGATGTTTTCTCTTTAAAAAGAAAAGTTGTGAAAAAAATATTTAACTTTGATTTACTGCCCATGAATAATAAGATTGCAGTCTCAATTAAAAATATAATTGTATTAAGCCAGAGTAGGGGTAAGATCAAAATTAGTTCATTTATTGCATTTTCTCTATTAAGTATTAATTGATTGACTCAGACTAGTAAAAGTTTGCACTGCCTTAGTTTAATTTGTGTCCAAGTTGCCCAAATGGTTGTGTAAAAATATTACATGTATCTACGTTCAAAAGAGTAAAACAATTATTTCAGGATATCTAAACAGTTTATTCAATTGAATGCTTTCTTGTTTTATGGACCTGTTAAAGATTTCTCTGACTCGATCTAACTCCTGCTTTTATATCTTGACAAGTATCTCCTTCACATATCATGATGTGACAGAGGGGGTTAGAGTCAGAGGCAACTCGGATTATTGATATGTTAGATCTGGTTTCACTTTCATTTACAATCCCATTGAAAATAGTTGTAAAAAGATTCATATTGGAAAACTATGTTTTATTGTTGTACTACAATAGATTGCAAATTTAAATGTTTATTTACTTTATAATAAGTATATATATATATATATATATATATATATATATATATATATATATATATATATATATATATATATATATATATATATTTCGCCAACCTTGCCACATTAGATTTTATCATAATGGTTAAACTTTACCCAGAGTTATCCTTCCTACTAGATAATGGTTCTGCAGTGTAATTTGTTTTGATAAAACCAGACCTGCAACTAAACTGAGTTGAAACATGTGAAATATGATACATCTCCCTTTCTGATATTTTGCTTAAGGTATTCAATGTATAACGACCATATTTTGTATCTAATAAGTACACGGTCCTATATTTGTAATTATGATATCATTTTGTAGATGTTGTGAAATAAAAAATACTCCACCAAATAAATATACAAAATTTTGATTATTGTCAAATTAATTGCACCTTGAATTTTACATTGGAGTCTACGGGCAATGCATGTATTATTAAGATATTGTAAAAAGTATTTTGAATTTTCTAAAAAGCTCTTGGTGAAAATATGCATACACTCTCTCTTTATTAAAATATTAAATAAAATTAATCATTTACCACAGATATTTTGACGAAATTAAAATTTTCTTCTTTGCATCAAGGGCAGTTAACTCTTCAAAAACTTTCAAAGTGCAAAATGACCAGCTTCTTATATGTTATCAGTCATGTGAATTTGGTTCATTTCACTTTCATCATTATCTAGCAGTGCATTTTTAACTAGTTTAAAATGATTCAAAATTGTTTAAAATCCCTTCATTATACATTGAATACCTTAAATTCAATAAAAAGAAATTTATTTTGTAATAAATTACATATGCATGACTTTTTGAACCTTGAAAAAAAATACAATAACAATTTTTTTTTCATTGAGAATGTCATTATTTAATTATGTTTTTTCGTGGCAATATTTAGTAATAAATAAACTAGTCATTTAATGATCCATGGAAATAAGGTCAGGTTTAATAAAATTAACAGATTTAAAGTCAATGTTGAGCCCTGTGCCTTAGTGCTGCAGTTTTAGCTCAGCTCAGCCAAAGGTCCAGACAATTGAGATTCTCTAAAAAAGAATCTGCCATCTGTTGATTAATTCTTTTTGTCCTTTAACAGTTCTTTTTTTTTTTTTTTACTTTGTCTACAAAAACATGTAGTCTAAGTCAATTACATGCACAATACTTCATTGCATGAATAGATTTCATACTTGTTTAAATGAAGGGACATGCTTTATTGAAAAAAGAGGAAATACAAAATATATGCTGTGTATTTATGAAACTTATGTTCTCAATCTGAAGTCATTAAAGCTTTCTTACATAGTGTAGATTCAAAATTCTGAAAAGCTTGGTCCCCATAGGTTGGATGGGGCCAAAATAGGTAAACAATGTTTTTACATAATACTAAATATTTTTGCTATACGAAAATTGCTCATATAGAATCAATTATTTAAGCTTACCTGAGGTAGGGTGTGCCCACAATAGGGAATCCAATTTTTACATTTAAATATACAGAGAAAATCTTAAGAACCACTAGGCCAGAAAAGCTGAAACTACTGTGGAAACATCCTGGGGTAGTGTAGCTTCTAAATTGTTAAAATTATGACCACGGGGTAGGGCGGGGCCACAATAGGGAATCCAAGTTTTGCATTGAAATATATAGAAAAAATCTTTAAAAATCTTCTTCTCAGGAACCACTGTGCCAGAAAAGCTGAAACTTACGTTGAAGCATCTTGGAGTACTGTTAATTCTAAATTGTGAAAATCATGACCCCCGGATTAGGGAAGGGCAACAATGGGGAATCCAATTTTTACATTGAAATATATCATGTATGTAGAAAAAAAATCTTTAAAAATCTTCTTCTTAGGAACACCTGGGCCAGAAATGCTGAAACTTATGTGGAAGCATCCTGGAGGTAGTGAAGATTTTATATTGTTGAAATCATGACCCCCGGGGGTAGGGCGGGGCCACAATAGGGAATCCAATTTTTACATTGAAATATATATAAAAAATCTTAAAAATCTTCTTCCCTAGAAACCACTAAGTCAGAATAGCTGAAACTTATGTTGAAGCATCCTAGGGTAGTGTAGATTCTATATTATTCAAATCATGACCCCCGGGGGTAGGACGTGGCCACAATAGGGAATCAAATGTTTACAATTGAAATATATTGGGGAAATCTTTAAAAATCTTCTTCTCAAGAACCACTGGCCAGAAATGCTGAAACTTTTGTGGAAGCATCCTGGGGTAGTGTAAATTCTAAATTGTTAAAATCATGACTCCTGGGGGTAGGGTTTGGCCACAATAAGTATTATTACAAGGGGAAAATCTGGTGAAGAACAGGCAGGACCAGAGTAACTCAGGTGAGCATTGTGGCCCATGGGCCACTTGTTTAAAGCCATGGGAAATAGAGTAAAGTTGTGGGTGTTCCATGTAGACCATGTCAATTATCCTTACATATTTCTTGTCTTGATTATAGAAAAGAAGCAGACCTTTGAGAATTCACAGCCTGTAAATGAGGGGGAAAATCAACAGCAGCAAAATATGAAGGTAAAATCTTTTTTAGGACCTTGTCATAAGGTATAACTAGTCCCTGTGTCCATCTGTCTGTTTGTCCAAGATCAACACTTTTATGTAAAGCATACTGGAGGGTTGTTTTTTTTAGGAAGCCTACTAATAACAACAAAAAGAGAGACATAAAATAGGACAGGATAATTATATTCTTCATTTAACGAACCACTAGACTAGAACCTAAAAGATAAAACTTATTTGAAAACTTCCTGAGGAAGCACAAACTTTAAATCATGGCTCTTAAGGGGTAGGATGGGCCACAATAGGACTTCAAATTTTGTAGGAAAGGATATTTCAAAAATCCTCCTCTTAAGAACTACTTGACTAGAAAAAAAAATAATTTTTTTTAAAAGCCTACTGAGGTATTATACAACCTAAATTTTACAAATCATAGCCTCCAGTGGAAGGGCAGGGCCACAAAGTTTGATCAATTTTTTACTTTGAAACATGTTGGAAAAAAAAGTTTTTAATTTTTTTCATGAGAACTGCTGGTCCAGAAGGAATGAAACATGTAATTTAAGCTTCCTGATGTGATAAAAATTGATTTTACCAATAATTACCCCCGGAGTTAGGGTGTTATGGCAACAACAGATCAAACTTTAACATTGAAATATATAGGGGAAAATCTTTAAAAATCTTAAAAATCATTGCTCCTAGGGGTAGGGTGGGACCACAAAAGGGGATCAAAGTATATAGGAAAAAAAAATTATACACCCTGCAAACAAAGTTTAGGGGCATATATTGGAATCAGGCTGTCCTTCTGTCTGTCCTTCTGTTTGTTCATCTGTGTGAAGACATATTGTCCAGACACGTTCTTGAAGTAAATTTCATGAATTTGTCTGTAAATCTATTTATTTTTTTGCACTCTTTATTATAATATGGCATTATAATAATTGCCAAATCTTAAAGATGGAACATTGTTGTACTTTATTCTAATAGTTATATGGATGGGTTCCTAAAAATGTTGATGTTTTTATCCTTAATGTTATCTACAACTAACTGACTATAACAGATTTCTTTGTCACAATTACAGGGGGAAATGGTAGCATTTTCATCCAGATTACAGACTCAAAGTGATGCTGAAAAGTTAAAAAACTGTTATGATAATCAAAAAGAGAAATTAAAAAGACAGATCAATATATATGTGAGAAAAAAATCCCAGGAATGTAACATTTGTATGAAAACTTTCAAATATACATGTTATTTAAAGACACACATGAGGACACATACAGGTGATAAACCTTACAAATGTGACATTTGTGAGAAGGCGTTCAACCAATTAGGTAACTTACAGACACATATGAGGATACATACAGGTGATAAACCTTATAAATGTGATGTGTGTGAAAAGGCATTCACTGTATCAGGACACTTAAAGAAACACATGAGGACACATACTGGTGGGAAACCTCAATGTGATGTGTGTGGGAGATCATTCTTTGATTCAGGTAGCTTACGGAAACACATAAAGACACATACTGGTCAAAAACCTTATAAGTGTGATTTGTGTCAAAGAGCATATTCTGAAAAAACATACTTAAATAGACACATGAAAATGCACACAGGTGTTACACCTTATAAATGTCAAGTATGTGGAAAGGCCTCTTCTACACCAGGAAACCTACAAGTACACATGAGGATACATACTGGAGAAAAACCTTTTCAATGCGATGTTTGTGGAATGGCCTTCACTCTATCACATGCATTACAGAATCACACGAGGATACATACAGGTGATAAACCTTATAAATGTGAGGTATGTGGGCAAACATTCAGGCAGTCAGGTACCTTGCAAAGACACATGTTAACACATAGAGATGATAAGAATTGTAATCTTTGTGGGAAGGCATTCAACAAAAGAAGCTTTCAAAGACACTTAAGGATGCATACTGATGAACCTTATAAATGTGATGTGTGTGGAAAGGCATTCAAGCAAATACCTAAGTTAAAGAGACATATGATAACACATACGGGTGATAAATCTTACAAATGTGATTTATGTGGGAAGGATTCTGCTTCATCTGATGACTTAAAGAAACACCTGAGGACACATACAGGTGATAAACCTTATAAATGTAAAGTGTGTTTGAAGGCATTCAACCAATCAGGAAACTTTAAGAAACACATGAGGACACATACAGGTGATAAACCTTATAAATGTAGTTTGTGTTTGAAGGCATTCAACCAATTATGTAACTTCAAGAGACACATGAGGACACATACAGGTGATAAACCTTATAAATGTGATTTGTGTGGGCGGGCATTTACACAGTTAGGTAGCTTACAGAGACATTTGAGGATACACACAGGTGAGAACCTTTATGAATGTGAATTGTGCAAGAAGGCTTACACGTCATTGTTTAACTTACAAAGACACAGAACACATACAGAAGTCTGTGGGAATGTTTTTGCTATATGAGAAAGTAAGAGGTCAGTGGGAAGCTGTTTGCTAAATCTGGAAACTTGGAGAAGAAATACGTGTAGAAAAACGCAAATGAAAAATTCAAAGTGAAAAATACCAATTGTGATGTGTATAGATAGTTTTTAATGTCCAAGTATACTAAGGGAAACATAAAGGTTGAAAGCCACATACTTGTAATGCATGTAAGAAATCAGTTTAAGATTCACAAGTGGATAAGCATCAAACAAAATGTGATTTGTTTCAGATAGGTTATAGGTAAACTGATAGAAGAGAAAGCTTACCGATTTTGCACTTAAATGAATGTAAAGAATGTATGAAAATGTTAAAACCAACGAAAAGTTTATATGTGCAGGAATTTGTTACATGGAATTGGTCGAACAAACCAGAGAAAATACCATCATGGGCAATTCTTGTCTGCATAGTAGTTCTTTACTATTGTAGAAAACCCGGTATTCACAAAGATCACGCTTCAAACATGTGGGATATCTTCCATAAAATTAATTGACTATTTCCATTCATGATTTCTTAAAAGCTCTAATTTTGTACTGAAAATGCACATTCATCAAGTTCATGATGAATGAATAAGTGTTAAATTAGCTTCTTGTATTTGGTTTATGTTTGACGTAAATGAGTTGATTTATATTCTGTACAGTTTGTTGTCCTGAAGTTTTTTTTTTTGGTATTTATTTATTTGATTTAATACAAATAAATCTGAAGAAGAGAGAAACCTCTTTTAATTCCGATATCTTATGAAATTAACCTTTTTAATTTTTATTCTAATTTTTTTTTCCAATTTCAGGAGGAACAGAACACTGTCAAATTTGGAAAGAAAAAAAAATATATTAAGCATGTAACTTTTATCCTGTAAAACTCTCACGTCTGGACGAGCTGTGCAGTGTGTGAAATCATTAGTTGGGTTTAAAGTCGGTTGCAGGCACGTCTCGGGGGGGGGGGGGGGGGCTGCATTTTTTCCAAATATAACTTTCTGTTGGAAATGGTTACTGAAAGGCTGATTGGCCCCCTCACTTTTTGATCAAATAAGGGTAATGTTTTTATATAAAATTTAGTACGGAAAGAAATTGGAACCTAACACCCCCGCCCCATCCCCCAGAGCAGTCCCAAAACAGTCCCGGGGACTGCTTTCTGGGACTGCTTGGATGTCATTCTGGGTCTGGTTGGTACTGTTTGACCATTTGAGCGGTGTGTATTATATCCAAAGTAAAAATACTAATGCCAGAATTATAAAGGAACTGTAGGTGGTCATATGAAGTAAATAAACTGAGAATAACGACACTTTTAGACTGGTTCTTGGCATTTTTATCTGTGATTAATATTAGAAAAACGACAAAAGACAACAAAATTGCGACGGCAAATAATACTCGACAAAAGACAACAAAATTGCGACGGCAAACAATACTCTTTCCCGGACTCAACTGGAATGGAAAATAGAAAAAAGATAAGCAAATGCAAGAAATAAAATTGGAGCAAAATGTTTATCAGCAAGAAGTTGGTTTTCTTTTTATTTTCATCTTAACTTTGATCATAGATATGTTTCCTGCGAAAAACCGTTTCCATAAACAGAACACAGTTCCCAAACAGTGTGTAGTTCAAACAAACGAGTAGAAATATATTCATCAATATGCAAGGAAATTTCCCGTTCCAGAAAAAAACTCGAAATTTCCAAGCTGCATTCATGAGTATCAAATGGGTAGTTCGTTAAAATAGGGGAACACATAGATGGCGTTATGATACCAGCAGAAAACAGAGCACTACCGTCGGCAAATTACATCACAGTTTGCTTTTAATAATCTCCCAAATCAATTTGAAAACCGGTCGCAGAACTCATCAGGAAAACGGTAGTTGTCCATACTTTTGACATAGGACGTCGCAACATCGTCACTTGGCCATAATTAGAAGGATTCCATTGTATTAATTCATCTCTCTATTTCAAAGTTAGTGCAATAACCATATGTAGAACTCCTCAAATCATCAAATTTATGAATGGCTTTCGACTTAAGACTGATATTGATATGTAGTGTGTCTGTCTGTATGGTGACTGACCTGATGTTTTTTGAGTAATTCTTCAGTAGATCTGATTGCAAAGTTCTGTAGACTTGGTAAGTGTTGGATTGAACAGATTTGAGTAAAGTAAGAAGACTGAGTCCTCTAAACATATTCGATGACTCCATAGCCATTAATCCAACCTCAGACACCAACAAATGTTCAAGCAATAGCGAGAGTAAGTCTGCAACATTGCTTTTTAAACAAGGCTTTTTGAAATTTAACGGTTGAAGTAATCAATTAGGAGTGAATAAAACGAAAGTGCAATCAATTTAGCATTAACAAGTCTTTTGAACCGTATTTAAAATAAACAATGTTGCTTCAAAAGATTTACACTACCAGACCTGCTTTGAACGCTGGATTTGACCTTGGTTGATTATTGAGTAGTTTACATTATATGTAAATTCAGTTTCCCAGTTACTACAAGTCCTACCCGGAGCAACTTGGTTATAGAATTTGCCTTTCTGATCAATAGAAACATTCGTTGTTCGTTATATGTGGTTACTTGTTTCACATCTCTATTATCTATATTAACCTACAACTACTAGGTATATTGCTGACTTCTGAGAGAAAAAAATGTATTATTTATCCTTATTATCATCAGACAAGTACCTTAATATATGGCATGCAATAAAACTGATTTCTTTGTCAAATTTACTGAAAAGAAAGGCAGCTTCTCCATCCCGATTATATATCATAAGAGGTACAGTGTAATAAGATATAACAAAAGAAATATATGATTTACCAGTATAACGACAAAGATAGTACCACTTTCTCAAACTCATTTATCAACCTTTTTTTTTTTTTAAATTTACATTTGAATTATATAGGAATAATGCTTAAAAATCTTCTTTCCAAAAACAAAGCTCCGATTAGTCAAGTTGATAAGAAAGCATCCTCAGGTAATGTAGATTCAAGTTTGTTCATATCATGGCCCCAAGAGGTGGGGTGGGGCCACAATGGACGATCAGATTTTTGAAGAGGAATATTATTAGTTATGTAGACACATAGAGAGGTAATATGGAAATATATAGTCCATATACTATTGTAGAAAACCCGATATTCACAAAGATCACGCCTTAAAACATTTGGGATATCTTCAATAAGAGTAATTGACTACTTCCATTCATGATTTCTTGAAAGCTCTAATTTTGTCCTGAAAATGCATATACTTTTTTTCAAGGACCCCATATCAGAGGCAGGTTTTAAATCTTCTTCTCAAAAATTAACAAAAAAGCTGTGATTGTCAGACTGAAATAGAAGGATCCTAAGGTAGTGTAAATTCAAATTTATTTAAATCATGCCCCCCCCCCCCCCCCGTGGTTGGATTGGGGCCATACTTGACCATCAGAATTTTACCTTGTAATATAAAAGAAAAAAAAAAGGTTTTAAATCTTCTTCTCAAGAACAACCAAGTCATATTTATATTAAAGTAACATTAGGGAGTGTAGATTCAAATTTGTTTAGATCATGATCCATTAGGGAGTGTAGATTCAAATTTGTTTAAATCGTGATCGGGGGTATGATTGGGACACAATCGGGAATCAAATCATTACATAGGAATATATAGGAATAAAACTTTTAAAAATCTTCTCAAGAACAACATAGCCATGATGAATCATGTTAAATGGAAGCATCCTCAAGTATTGAAGGTTCAAAGTTGTTCAAATCATGAACCCCCAGGAATAGGGTGTGGAAGCAATGGAGGATGTATGCTTCGCATATGAATATAAATAGGAAAATTCTTAAATGTCTTCTTCTCAAGAACAAGAAAACCATTAAGATTCATATTGATCTGGAAGCATCATCAATGGGTGATTAAATTTTTACACAGGAATCTTTAGCATTTAACTGACTTATATTTCTTCTTGAACAATTAAGAATTCAAGTTTAGCTAAATCACTATACCCTGAAGCTAACTTGGAGAATAAAATGGAGTTAATGAAAGGAGGAAAAATATTTTTCAAATCTTCTGGTGAAAAATAACTGAATCGCTTGAGCGTTGTGGCCCATGCACCCCTATCCCCCCCCCCTTACATGTACAGCTGTAACGTTTTAATTACCTGATCCCACCTCTGATATTTTTTGGAGGTCAATGTTTGCTCTGCTCCCGATTTGTATTGTTTTAATGGACTTTGAGCTTGAATACTGTTCGTTATCTCTATATTTCATTTTAAAAAAGTCCATAGTACTAAATGTAAAAAAAAAAAAACCATCAGCTAGAGTATCACAAACAGATATTTCTTTTTTAATTAATTTTTTTCACCTGAGTACAAACACACGATATTGTACATAGTTTTTCCACCCTACATTTCGCTCGCACTATCTTACATTGTCGCCGCGATTAAGCACTTTCAGTACTTTGATTATATCTATAAATATCGGAATCGGCATTTCGGTTAGCACACAAAACAAAGCTCGAGAGAAAGTTTCAGGCAGGTAATTTCTTTATTTAAAAAAAAAATGCATCGATTCTTACAAAATCCTGTTTTCTACTTACAGAATAATACATATCGTGGAAGGTCTTGGATTACTGAGAGTCGATAAATCAGTGGCATCCCCGTTTGAGATGGCGCATTTTTTACACTGGAAGATCCGACTTCATCAACATGATCAATGTATGATGATAATGTTTGGTAACACAGTCACTTCCCGTGTACTGTGTAATGTAAAAGAAAAAAAATCCCTAAGAAATTTTAATGCGACATTGTTTGAATAACTTTGAAAACGTACTTAACTTTTGCAAGGTAAAAATTTAAGATTGAAATTATCTATTGAATTTCAATTTGTTATACGCCCATTAGTCCGAAATATCTGACGTTTTCCTGGCTTTTTTACGATTTTTATGTTTGACGTGCCAGGAAAACGTCAGAACCGGTGCCATTAGGAAAACCGGAAATTCACCGCCTCCAACTGGAGGCGGCATTCTCGGGTTGATTTTCGATACTTGCGAACCGATTTAAATGCTGAATTCACAACTTATCAATAGAACAATGCCTTTAGTACAAATCAACATCATTCTTATGGTTTGTTTATAAAATATACAGTCCGGTAAAAACATTTTATCAGACCCTCGAGTTTTGTTTTCAGTGCATTTTAAAATCTTGCAAGACCTGTTTCGAAATGTAGAGTGATATTTTCTTTTCATCGATATTGGTGAGTTTAGTAAAAGCATTGTGCTTTTGATAAATTGTAAGTTCGGCATTTAATTCAGTTCGCAGTATCGAAAATCAGCTCCGGCGAAATTTCCAGTTTTCGTAATGGCGCCGGTGATAATAGGTTGGGCCTAAGATTTTGTATATATCATTACTCTTAAAATAATATATGAATGCATTTTGAAGTATCAAATTAAAAGTTAATGACATTTCTGTTGATTTTCCCAAACAAAATTTACACTGTTTGATCAGTGCAATTTTTAGATTAATGCATGGTGCTATTGAAAATGCTATATCACAAGAATATTCATGTTTTTTATTAAAAAAATTTGTGTTTGTTTGTTTGTTTGTTCTTGAGAACAATTCGAAATAATGATTTATTTACTCTGTTGCAGGTTTACCTGGTTTAAGAGCAATAATTAGGTCATGATGTCAGATAATTTGG